GCCCAACGAGATCTACACTCTTTCTTTTCATTTCGCTTTTTTTTTTTTTTTTTTTTTTGTTTTGTTATTCATTATGTTATTGAGTAGCTAACAAGAAATACTGATAAATACTGATTGGCCTATAGTGGTTTTTAGATACGCAGCTAATAGCAATATTTAATTTAGGTAAGTTTTGTTTTGCTTCAGAAATATTTTCCTGCAGCATAAATTTAAATGAAAATGCACAGTGCTTCACTGCTGTCAATTTATTTTGGTTGCACCTCTGCTCTAACAAGAAGACGTGTTGCAAAGTGATAAAAAGTGTTGACTGCAGTGAGCGGAAATATCTTTTTTTAAAATGCAAAGACTGAATCTGTTAAACTAACAATCAGTCAGCTGTTCGTTTCTGTTTCACCAAGAAGCTGCAAGCCACAAAATAATGTACATTGAGTCATTTTCCTCTTTGTGCCAAAAGCTTCACTAACTCATTCAGCAGTCTGATATCAGGGCGTACAAATTTTAATTTATATAAAATATACAACTTTAACATGCCAGTGAATTTAGTAAATATGCGTATTAGAGATGAAACAACTAACTAGTGAGGGTCAGAAAGAACTCCATTGTGTCTTTGTGGATTTAGAAAAAGCATATGACAGGGTGCTGAGGGAGGAGGTGTGGTATTGCATGAGGAAATGTGGAGTATGTATGTATGTATGCATGTATGTATGCATATATGTATCTATGTATCTATGCATCTATGTATCGATCGATCAATCCATGTTTTTTCGGATGGATGAATGGATGGATGGATGGATGGATGGATGGATGGATGGATGGATGGGTAGATGGATGGATGGATGGATGGATGGATGGATGGATGGATGGATGGATGGATGGATGGATGGATGGATGGAGCGAGCGAGCGAGCGAGCGAGCGAGCCTTTACAGGAGAGTAAAACATCAGCTGAGTTAATTCAGTTTGAATAAAAGTCAATGTTTGTTTATTTGCTGCGTGCAGTAATTTTCTTTGAGCAGCAGCAGCATCCATGTTTTTTCTGCATTTTAATAACTGTTGGCTCAAATAGTCATTTATTGAATGTAAATGTATTAAATATATTACCCTGCTTTAAAATGCAAGAAAAACAACGTTTATGACAAGTAAAAACTGCTCGTTACGCAACAGAAGGATTTCAAATAATTTTTTCATTCTTTTTTTTTTTCTATGACCTGTATAGAAACTATAGAGATGATGTAATGAAATGTGCTGTTTGTTTACGTAAATATATATTTTTAACTTGGGTGCCTTTGAATTCAGAGAAGCCAGAGAAGCTCCAAAGTGCTGAATACCTGGGTCTTGTTTTACTGTCCTTTTGCTTAATGTCACCCAACCTCCCCTCAATTATCTAAAAGCACTAAAAGTATTGATGAATAGTCTGGACATGGTCAACAGATGTGACCTACCCATCCAAGAACTGTCAGTGCACAAGAGTTATCCAAGTGCAAACCCTCCGGGGTGCAGCAGTCCTGATATACGGCAATGCTCAATAAGCTAATGCTATCTGGCAATAAAAACAATGCCAGGTGGTAAGCAGAACTGAGGCTGACATTTCTTGTTAGTAATGAATCAGTGCAGACTTAAAATGAGTTTCATTGAACTTTTTGACTTCCTGAAAACACAAAGAGAAGAGAGGAAAGGTTATGTCAGCTCTAATTAAATATCCATGTTAAAAAAAAAATCTCATTATTAGTCCACTTTTATCAGTTTTGTTGTTTTGGAGCTTCCAAATTAAAGTAATAATCCTTTTAAGATTCATAATTGGTGGCATAATAAGTTGTATTCTGTTTTAACTGAGATATTTCAGGGAGAGAACAGTATCTTCCTCAAAATGCAAAAAGCAATGTGTGTTTTTAATAAAACAAACATAATGAAATCAATAAACATAAAGGTTAGATCTCTTTAAGTGCTACTTTTTTATGTTTGCAGCCCATAAGACCCATTGAACAATTCTCTTGAACTTGTTCTTTAAAAATTTTTTTAAAAAAAGATTGCAAACCTTGAGTCATGGGTTTAAATTTGTTATCGCTTTATGACACAAGCCTTGAGTGTTTGTTCTCTGGACTCGAGCTGCTCGAGTGTCCTTCAGAGACCACATCAACACGAGGTCCTGATGTTATCCTGTTATTATAAGCTCACTGTTTAAAGAAAAAAACATTCACAGATTAAAACAAAACTTTCTTTTTTAATAATGAATCGTCATTACTGAATTTAAGCAATCAACGTTTGTATTTACTGAAACTAGAACTGTGTTCAAATGAAAGAACAAAACCGCAGCAGGATTAGAAAATGTGTTTTATTAAAGATGAACAGCAGAATCATGAAGTTCATGTTCAATAATCCAGGTAGAAAATCCAACAAAGTTTAGTCAGGTCTTCTGGACGGTTTATTTTTTTGTCGAGACGTTTCGTCCTTCATCCCAAGGACGTCATCAATCTGAGGAGCCACAAACAAACTCAGTCCCACAAGCAGCACACCTACATAGTGGACCAACCAGTTTGCTGGTGATAAGATGGTTTTTGGTTTAGAATCTTTTTATTTTCATTTATATCAAGTTACCTGAAATATTTTAGATTTTTTTTTCATAACCATTGTTTTTTAAAAAGCATCCTCTGGGTTTCTATTTTTATTTCTATTTTTCTTTTTTTTAGCTTTATTATCTTTATCCTGTTTTAAGTTCATCCTTTGATCATCTTTAGTGTTTGTACAGATGGTGTTGAGTTTATTTCCTGTGAAATTGTATATTCAGCACCAGCAAAGAGCTTTTATAAAGTTATTTTCACAAATTTATGCACATTTTATGCTGGTTGCTGTTAGAAATTTAACCTCGTTAGTTTACAGGACTTGCTTCCAACACGAGTCGGGTTTTTTTTTATTAAACATACTGTGATGATTTAAAAGTAGAAAATTTCTTATACAGATAAAAGCATGTTGTTGTTTTTTTGTTGTTGTTGTGTTTATTTGTTTGTTTGTTTTTTTGTCTTAAGCTGCACAGTTCAAAACTCCAGTAAGAATTGTAGCTCATGATGGATCTTTTATTGTCGTGTTTCAGATGTGCCTTTTTCTTTTAATTTCACCAAAGAAAACTTTGGACCATGTTTATCAGATTCATCTGATGAGTGAATGGAAAGTTTCCTTTTAATATTCAGAATTTCTCTAAATGTATTAAGCTACAGATGGTGTTTTTAAATCATTAATTAAAATTAAAATGACTCCGAAAGTGTCAAGAAAAACAAAAACTTGCAGCACATCATGTTAGCTTCAGTTCCCTTAAACTCTGGATTTCCACTTCTTCCTCAGCATGTGTTCTTTTAAACACACACACACGCACACACACACACACACACACACACACTGGACCATGTTGTTACACAGAGAGCTTGTGCGGAAACATACGCTCTCATTAGTTTCTGCTTGTCATCTTTCAACAAGGAGCTGTCTCACAATTGACAACACGCACAATTGACACACACACTCATACTGTACATGCACACACACATTGCCCTCTGGTTAGACTCCAGGCACCTGTCATGACCCCCCCAGCACATGTCCGTCCCACTCCAGTAGATTCATGACTTTGGGGTATAAATAAAACTGCTTGTCTGTTTTCTTTTGTTTGCTCTGTGAATAAACACACACACATTGTCCCTCACAAAGTACGTGCCAAGCTTTTGCATTCATTATAAAACTAATTCACCTCATTAATTTACCATTTATACATGTGAAAACTCATCAAGAGCTTTCTAGCATTCAGTCTAACGAGACAACTTATAATCAACCGTTGCTGAGCAGCTCCTAAAAACATTCAAACTCTGTTTGTTTGGGGTTCTTTGCATTTAGTTCATTTATATATTAAGCGGCTTAGAGGAGTATGGATTAACCACTTACAATTCAAAGTCACCTATTATTTGCAAGATTCACAAAGCATCTGATAAAGCTGATAAAGCTAGAAATATGTACAGATTTTCTTCATGTTTAAATTATGTCTGATAAACATGAATTAAAAATGTTATACTTTGTATAATTAAACTCCTCAGTGCATCACTTTTTCATCCACCAGAAAATACAGAACACACACACACACACACACATATATATATATATATATATATATACACACACATATATATATACACACATACACACATATATATATATATATATATATATATATATATATATATATA